CTTGCCAATATCCATGCCACACCCCTTCACCATGCCTGGCTAGCACATACCCATGCTGTGCCCTTCTACCATTCGTGGCTTGCACAGTGCACACTTACATCCTTGCAGGGTTAATTGGAACACTAAAGACTGCAGTTGTTTAACTTGAACTTAAACTACAGACATCACCATCTAGGTTAAAATTTCAAAATTTGTGTCAAATTTTTCATATTTCAAAAGTAAACTCAACAACAAAGTGAGTTGGTAAGGTGAAGTATTAAAAATCAGGTGTTATTATTGGGAACCTTGTGTCTTTACACTAACTGGAATTTTTTTTAGTAGTTCAAAGAGCTCTTGTGTCTGAATATTCTTTTGAGTAATTGAGGGGCACTGCTCCATGCCTAGAAAGCACCTTAGATGTCTGTCACCTTCTTCTGCTTCTTTAAAAAAAAAAATTAAAAATTTTATTTGTGTGTGTGTGTGTGTGTGTGTGTGTGTGTGTGTGTGTGTGGTGGATGTACATGTGCAGGTGCCTTTGGAGATCAGACAAGGGTGTCAAATCTCATGGGGCTGGAGTTACAGTTTTGTGAGCTGCCAGACATTGGTATTGGGGATTGAATGGGGGTCCTCTTGAGAGAGGTGAAGACTACTAGCCTCTGAGCCCCTAATTCTCTACTTCTGGTCTTCATTTTTCGGATTACTTTTTTTAAAAAAAGATGAAGTTCCTCTCTCCAAAATAGAAATAAACTGGAGCTGTAGTACAAATGCCTTGCTGCTTCCTCTCTAACCTGTTCTTTCCAGTGCTCTGCTCCATGTTCCCAGTAAGCTCTGAGTGACCTGTAATTTTTAGTTCCCTCCAGTAACGTTGTACTGATGTTACCTCTCATGTGCAGACTAGTAAAGCCAGTGAAGTGAAGGCTTCCCAAGGTTACACAACAAGTCTGGTTGGGAACAGCGGAGACTGTTGTTTCCAGTTTGTTGCTTGGCACTGTGTTGAAAGTGGGTGCTGAACTTCATACTTGTTTTGTGTTTTCTGCAGTGCCCCACATTTTCTTCTACCTGATGAGCCAACTTGTGGGCTTCTCTTTAGTGGCCTTGCCTGCGCTACAGATGCTACACTAAGTGATGTGCTTGAAAGCAGACTGAAGGTGCTGTGAGGTACTAGAGGAGACAGGGAACCGGTTGCAAAGAGCCAGGGCAGCATTGCTCACTCCTGTTCTGGGGTCCAGAGGGAGGCTAGTGCTTCTGCTGTTCTTTGGGCTGGGAGATGCTTCCCATGGCTGCTCTACTTGGAGAACTTGGGTTCTTTTGGCATTAGAGAAAAGGTATGACATAAACAAGTAGTTTCCCTTTCCTAAATCTTCCTCTAATCACACCAACACTTTCAGTGGGATTTTGTTATAGTGCATGTAAATAGTGAACATCATTTGACTCTGTTGTTGAGTAGGAGAAATCTCATTCTCAAACTCATCTGATACACTAAACGCAGTGGTCTAGGTTGCTGTCTTTGTCATTTTTCAGAAATTTTTTTTTAACTAATTAAGAGGTCTACTTGGAGTATTTGCAAAAACATTGGAACATAAGGTAAACACATAAACACCATGAACCAAATGATCATTATTGGACCAGTTGCTATTTTAGCAGCAGCTGCAGCAGCAACAGAACACCATGCTGAGTCAGGGCCCTGATTCACTGTAGGGATCTAGTATCTTTGGTGAGTCAGGAAAGCATTTTAATGCTTGGAGGAGTGCACTCACAAGCTGATAGTCTCCTAAGCTCAGGTTTGTAAATGAGCTTGGTAAGAATGCACAAGGTAAGCTGGCATTGGAGTTGGCTGAGCACAGCTCAAAGGTAGGAAGTTAGTTGTGCCTGTATTTTGCGTGTGTGTGTGTGTGTGTGTGTGTGTGTGTGTGTGTGTGTGTGTGTGTGTGTGTGTGTTTGGCCTGCATTCATTTCTATGAACCATAGAAGAGGGCATTGGGTCCCCTGGAACTGGAGTTAGAGGCAGTTGTGAGCAGCAGTGGGTTGCTGGGAATCTGGAAGAGCTCTTAAGTCCCCAGTCCAATATCTGTGCACTTCCTTACATTCCAAAATTTAGTGTACTATTACTTCCTTTGTTGCTGTGATACAAACCTGACAAAAATCACTTAAGGATGGAAAGGTGTACTTTGGTTCACAGTTTGAGGGTGCTATCCATCATGGTGGAGAAGTCATGGCAGCAGAGGGAAGATGTATGGGTCACAGTGTGCATCTCTCCACTGTCAGGCAGCAGACAAAATTGAACACTGGTCTTCTGCTTGCTCCCTCCCTTCTTTATTCAGTAGAGGACTCCATCCATTGGACATGCCTAAAGGTTTGTCTCCCAGGTGTTTCTAGATCCTAAAGAGCCACAAGTCAGTATTAATGACCACACTTAACAACCTTTGTTCTCCTAGGTCTGTTGGAGTTGAAACAATAGATTTGTCCCCAATGAGAGTGTTCCTAGATTTCTTAAATGTTGATTGATGTTGCTTTAAAGAATTATCTATTACCTCAATTTAAGTCTCCAGGTCTTTCATGGTACATTGTGAAGGAGGCAAAACACCCTTGCTTTTGGCCTTCACGGGCATCCTTACCTGAATGATAACAAACAGAAACATTGCCCCTGAATGAAAGTTATTTTACAAACTTGAGGCAGAACCCAGCATCAGAAACTAGTGTTTCTTGTTTTTATCACCTTCTTCAGAGCATTAAATCCAGGTGTGATAAGTATATAAATAAAGGGGTAGAAAAGGATTGCCATTCTGGTCTGTTCTTTGGAGTAGGGCATTCAGCCTTTTCATAATCAGACCTACTAATGTATTAACATCAACATTGCATCCTTGAATGCATACAACATAAGACTGGCATCTACTGCTTTCTGTATAGTCTATTTTTTTTTCTTTTGCATTTGTGGCTTTCTTAAGAAGTTTTTGCAGTTTTAAAATCTATATCCTACCATGTTGTACTACCCATTTTGATTAGCTATGAACAAGGTCTCAGTGGGGCTTGCTTTAGTCACCTTTATTGGACATTTCTCATGACCTGCCCTTGTAGCTACTACCCTGACTCAGAGCAATAGTGGAGAATGGGAAATAAAGCAGAATCTGAAAACCCAGTCTGGCAGGCGATGTCACAACTGAAATTAGGCTACTTCTTCATGGTTCTCAGTGTGTGCAATCATTTTTCTATCAATGTGAAGGATAGAGGTACACGATTACAAACTAGTCTCGGTAGGTACAAAGCAGCATTTTGCCCTGGGATTTATGCTGTGGGTTTTCAATCACTCTGCTTTTATTCTCCCTCCTAATCCTAACCAGTGTCCAGGAACCATATCTACCACCCCAAGGCAATAGCAAGTATATTTCTAGGTACAAATGAAGAACATCTTTGACAGAGTGGGTGGACTATATAGTTCAAGCTTCTAGCTGAAGGATACCTGTAGAACTGGGAATGAGCACACACCATGCTATGAGAGAGAAGGAACATGCCAGTCCACTGTACTACTTATGCAAAGAGCAGGCAGGGTACAAAAATAACCAGTAACTTGATATTGTCCAACAGTGTAATAGAGTAGCTGAAGAGGTAAATTCAAAAGGATCTTAGGTGTCATGCTAACTCATAACCCAGCTCTGTCTTGTCATTAGCTGCTGGGAAGGTCTAGGGGGCTTTGATAAGCTCATTTGAGCTCATGGTTATATCAGAGTTTTGGAAAGCTTACTCTAACTAGTAGCTGATAAGGGCATCTTTGAGTCTAGTATGGATGAGAAGCAATGATGACCTAAATGGTAAAAAGACATTGAGAGGAAGTGTCTCATGGGATTAAACAATTGGAGATACAGCAAGGGAAAGGAAGACTTTTGAGTTTCTGGTGTAGATGAGTAAAGTACATTTCAACACACACACACACACACACACACACACACACACACACGTATAGAAACAACAGTTGTTAAGGAAGAAGACTGAATATGTTCAAATTAGAAAACCCCTATGTAATTGGGTAAATTATCTGACTTTCTCTTTTTCCCTATACATCTATGCATACTCACATTTGTTCTGGTGAAGACTGAGTTTACTGGCACTTTCCTAGTTTCTCTCGGTTGGTGGTAAAGTGCATGATACAGTCAGCACCAGTCAGTAAGTGGCTAGCAGTCCATTAGTGGTCACAGTCCCTGACCACAAAGACTGGGTAGTTCCTACTTCCCCATTTAGAACAAGTTAAATATGAAGTGACTTTTGAGTTTCCAAATAATAAAGAACATGTAAGGAGTCTGCCTGGACAGATTTGGGGTTCACAAAGTAATTTGAGAGTTTGGAAATTGCTTTTGAAAAGCAAATCTTGACTCCTTAACTGTGAACCTTGATATTTTTAAAAGAAAATTTATTCTTATCCCTTTTCCTAGTATGGGGGAGTTTTGATGTAACTTAACTGATGAAGTTAATTTTCAATGAATGCTTTGCCTTTATCTATGTAACTACTTAAAGCCTGACTATATATGTACACTTGTAGCATTTAAATTGCAAATATATGAAATGATAGCTATGGGGGCAGGGGCTCCTTCTTCAAGAGTAGGAAGTATTCTAAAAAGGAAGACTATATCAAGTATAACCCTTGTTCTATGCTAATGCCACCAATACAAAAGTATTTTTTGTACTTTGTGATAACTAATCATGTCACATTTGGCTTAAGGGACAAGGAGTAATCTTTTTCTTTGTGGTAACTCAGTGACCCATTCATGTGTTGTTCTTTTGGAAGGATCACAGTGCATGTTCATAGAAAGAACCACATGGAGGAACTGCATGAGGCTGTACACAGAATTTTATGAGGAATGCCAGGGTGGACAAACTTGGATGTGTCAGTGTCATCATTCTATAGAGCTCCATTCTCCTGAAATCCCAGAGAAATGTTGCTAGAAGGGAATATTCTGTGGAATGAGACCTTTCCCCATTTTATGGCCAATATGTATTAAGAAACATATCTATTCTACAAATACCAAGTGCTGTAGTCTTGAAGAAGCAAGCAGCCATTTACAACATCCCTGAGAACATGACAATGTTTGTTAGTGGCAGAAGAGTCAAAAGGTGGAAATTTTTCCAGCTATTTGCCACTTGTTTCATATTAAGCTTCATGGTTTTCTGGGGTCCAATCAATAATCATATTGTGAACCATATGAAGTCCTACTCCTACAGATACCTCGTAAATAGCTATGACTTTGTGAATAACTCCCTGTCTGTCAAGCACAGCTCTGAGCAACCTCACTACCGATACTTGATCAACCACAAAGAGAAGTGCCAAGCACAAGATGTCCTCCTCTTACTGTTTATAAAGACTGCCCCTACAAACTATGACCAGCGTTCTGCAATCAGAAAAACGTGGGGCAATGAGAATTATGTCCAGTCCCAACTTAGTGCCAACATCAAAATTCTGTTTGCCTTAGGAACTCCTGCTCCACCAAAGGGAGAAGAGCTGCAAAAGAAACTGATTTGGGAAGATCAAGTATACAAGGATATAATTCAGCAAGATTTTGTTGATTCTTTCTACAATCTTACTTTAAAATTACTCCTTCAGTTCAGCTGGACAAACACCTTTTGTCCACATGCCAAATTCTTGATGACTGCCGATGATGATATATTTATTCACATGCCAAACCTCATTGAATACCTTCAAAGGCTAGACCAGATTGGTATTCGAGACTTTTGGATTGGTCATGTTCATCGTGGTAGCCCTCCTGTTAGGGATAAAAGCAGCAAGTACTATGTTCCCTATGAAATGTACCACTGGCCAGCTTACCCTGACTATACAGCTGGTGCTGCCTATATCATCTCCAGTGACGTAGCTGCCAAAGTCTATGAGGCATCACAGATGCTAAATTCCAGTCTGTACATAGATGATGTGTTCATGGGCCTCTGTGCCAATAAAATGGGGATAGTGCCACAGGACCATATCTTTTTTTCTGGGGAAGGTAAGGTTCCTTATCATCCTTGCATCTATGAAAAGATGATGACATCCCACGGACACTTACAAGACCTGCAGAACCTCTGGATGGAGGCTACAGATCCTAAAGTAAAGAACATCTCGGAAGGTTTTTTTGGTCAAATATACTGCAGGTTAATTAAGATAGTTCTCTTCTGCAGATTGATTTACCGAAGTGCATATCCCTGTAGGGCTGCATTTGCTTAATAGCATTTGAATGCTGCACTATGTTCACTGTAACTGAGCCAAACGGAAGAAAAAGAAATCTGTAAACCTTTCTCTATAGCCTAAGTGAAATGAACTGGAAGCAAAGAGACCATTTCAAATCCCAGGGGATTAAAACATGTCTTATTACAGAAACTAGTCAGTGTAGTGCCTAATCCATGGCTTAAGCTCATTTCAAGGGTTTCAATTTTTAAAAGACTAAGCTCATGAGCAAAGGCAAAAGTAAAGCAGAATTTAAGTTCTCACTCGGTGCTACATGTCTTTGAGGTATGGAGACCAATTGGGATGCCTTGGTATCAAAGATATGGTCTAGGAGAAGTACCTAACAAATAGGTAATGAGCATTTCTAAGAAATTAGTATAGCTTTAGAACAAGCATTCCAAATTATTTTCATTGGAAAGTACTTGGCAAGGGTGGGCAGAGGGTATAGAAGAAAAGTATACCAACCTGAAGAAAGTTTCAATCTAATGAAGACATAGAGGAAAATGTCTACTGTCTTGTTATAGTTGAATCATTTGACATTGACATTTCTATAGCTATTTATCTAGACAGTTCTGGAACCATTCAAAATTTACTATATCATTTTCTCAAATTTAACTTTTAATATAAAATTTGAGAAAGTCATCAGCTCTGACCTCATTAGAACTTTCTGAAGGCTTTCCCTAAAATTATCAGACTTTATAAAGAGAAATTACTGTCAACTCCAATAAGCTGATTTTAATTTAATGAATTATTCGATGGGTTTTAAAGCACTAAATATTGGTCTTTGCTTGAGGTAGTTGTTTGAATAGTGCTTATATAGAGGAATATAATGATGGAAGAAATTTAAAGGAAAGGCAGGGCTAGGGGTATAACTCAGCACCCAGAAAGAAAAGGCAAGGATGCAAGAAGGATCCCTTTTCCTTGTAACTTGTAATATGTTAGCTTGGAGTCCAGCAGTGATTACTAAAATCAGCCCACCACTTATCAGCAAGATCTCCAGGCCACAGGTTTTGTTCCAAGTACAGACTTTTAACTTAAAAGTTTTTAATATGCTACCATGTCTAAATAACCCATTATTTAGCTAAATAACTATCAAGGACTATCTTCTTGGTATCTCAAACATGGAAGCAGAGCAAGAGTCATAGAGAGACTAACCAAGCGAGGCTGACCGTTTTAGTAAAGCTGCATTTATAACCAGAGATTTGACAGATGGAATAAATACACTGATTTTACAAAGTAGAACCAAAAATGTAGCTGTAATGCCAATGGTGAACCAGCATGGAAAGGACTAAGTAACATCCATTGATAGAGACATGCAATGAAGACCAAAACAATGACTACAGAAAAAGCACATGAGCCTCTTAACAAACCTCAGATGGAGGCACATACTGGGAAATCTCAGCTACCATTACTATGGTGTTGGGAAAATGTTAAAAAAAAAAAAAAATCTAAGAATTTCTCTGATTACACAACTAAGTGATACCTGTGTTTTTGCAGGTAGTTTTTTTTTTTTTTTTTTTTTTTTTTGATTTTTTGGTTTTTTTTTTTTTTAATATTTACTGAAATCTTTGTGAATTTTTCTACTATGATATTTAAGGCTTGTTTACACTGCTTGGGTAATTTCTTACTAACTTCAAGATGTGGTGTTAAACATTCTAAGATAGTTATTTTTAAGGTAGTTTTAGATTATTACAGTTCAGATTTTTCAGATGGGTTTTTGTTTTTGTTTTTTTAAGAAAGTAGAAAACAAAAACTTCATTTGTAAAGCAGTCTCATAGTTAATCCTCACCAGTTGGCGCTTTGATAAGCACTGGCTTTGGGCTCCATGTGCCGGAGTCTCAACTTTGAGCTGATAAAAGTTGCCACCAGCTGGAAAACATCATCTCTCTATGGCCATTGATGTGGTCTTGTTTACACTTGGTACTTTATGAAGCAGTTATTTAGTTGCTTCACTGAGCTCTCTTGAACTGTGTTCATCTTTTTCTGTTTTGCATAGAATAGAATGGAACTGGTTTGAAGTTAAAGGAAATATGAGGGTACTTTTTGTCTTTTGGAGTTGTCAGATGATTCCACCATCAGACCCAAAGTCTTGAGAAGTATAAACAGAACTGTTCTAACTTTTTTAAAAAGGAGAACCTTGGTGCTGAAATGCAGGGCTGTTTTCAAAATGGAAAATAAAATAGAAAAGGAAAATAAACTATTGGCCCAGATGGTCAATTGAGTTTAAAAAAAAAAAAAAAAAAAAAAAAGAAGGCTATTCACAGAAATATTGCTAAAATCTTCTTTCTTCTTGATTGGCTTGGATCTTTTATCCAGCTATTAATTTTATACCAAAATTTTAAATATTTATATTGCTTGTGTTTCAATCTTGTATGGCAAGATAATTGGGTTGTTCAAAAAGTCTATGCTTTCCAATAAATAACTTAAAAACCGTCAGTAACGGGTATTTAGACTCCTGTGTGGGTATCATTTTGTATATAACTACCTTTTTGATACTGTCCTATTTGTGTTCACACTGCTGCTGTGCTCAGTTGAGAGCATTGTCAGGTCTTTATTATGGAGCTATCTGATGAGGTCTGCTTCTGTGCTTGTGGGGAAATGCTGTTTCCTAATCATTTATCAGAATGGCATGAAATAAAGAACATGAAGCCTAGTGCATGCCAGTTAAAGAGGTTAGACTCCATTCACTAGCTGAGTAAAAGAAAAACTTGGAAGTATCTGCTTCACTCAGGTGTAGCAGAATTTTGTACTTGGAAGACATTCCTGGATTATCTGTATACCAAAAGGTATTTCATCACTTGAAAGAATTTTTGCAGTTTACCTGGACATCGTAGCTACATTGAGAATGGGCCCTGTGATCTCTGAATATGCCAATTCTCCCTTCTTCCCTCCCTTCTTCCATGACAATGAGAGGGCTTTTGATGTCTCCCTCACCGTTCTTTCCTGACTGGAAAGGACATGTATCTGAATTGTGTATTTGTACTAGAACAAGATTTAGTTAGCTCTCCTCACACTGTTCTGTACCTCAAATGCTGCCTCCAGTGTGGAACCTAAACTCTTCCACTTGGATTTAGAGCCCCATCTCTTTACCCCCTGTAAAGTTTACTCTGCCCACTGCTGACATCATCACAAATTCCTTTACTTTCTGTCCCTGGTGGTGCTGGGTTCCTTTGTCAAGAGCACTGTCTCTGTTTTATGCAGCCAAAGGCAAATGGCCTGAAAAGCCCTGCTTGTAAGAATCTGGAAGAGGCAAGTCCTCATGTAGGCACCTCTCCCCCTGCCAGACCCCAGGAGAGGCATGGCACACTTCCAGTCCTCTTGGTATGCCCCTCTTAACCTGTCCCCATTTCCTGTAATTATCTACATGTCTCTGTGCAGAGACACAACCAGAAACCCTCCACATCTGCCTTCTAGAGCCACAGCCACATCTGTGTGACACCTACCACTTATTCCATTAATTATTCCCCTTGGCTAGTGTAAATTCTGACAGTAGATATTTCATATCCAATTGCCTAGTAATGTTCTGGCAAAATATTCACCTACGAAAATATTATTCAGAGTCCTTCATGTGTACTTTCTGTTGTCAACATTTGCTTATAGCACTTGAAACTTTTCAGTTTATGCACTTGTCATTGTTAAAGGAGGTCAGAGCAGAAACTCAAATAGAGCAGAAACCTGGAGGCAGGAGGCTAGCTGTGGCTTACTGGCTTGATCATTATGATTTGCTCAGACTGCTTTCTTATAGAACCTAGAATCACCAACCCAGGGATGGTACCACCCACAACAGACTGGGTTCTCCCATTAGTTACTAATTAAGAAAATACTCTACAGGCTTGCCTACAGCCTGACGCTTATGGGGGCTTTTTCTCAATTGAGGTTTCCTCCTCTTAGATGACTATCACTTGTGTCAAGTTGACATAAAACTATCCAGCATAACATTTAACTAAGACTTTTACAATTATAAAAATAGGCATATCTTCCAAGATAGAAAATCCCATAACATAAATTTGTTTATGGAAAACAGTGATATATATATATATGTATATATATATATATACATATATATATATATATATATCACTGCTAAGCGTTGCTTCTTGGAGAACATGCCACTAATATCTACGTTCAGAAATTCTCAAATTGGGCATTCACTCTAATTCAAGGGATATGTTTTATTTACTTGCTTTAATTTACTATTTTATTTACTATTTTATATGTGCATGTATGATGTCGTGTGTGTGTGTGTGTGTGTGTGTGTGTGTGTGTGTGTCCTGGCATGCATGTCCTCAAAGCCTGAGAGAGGACTTTTTGTTCATTACTGCATTCAACAGTGCTGGCTCACAATTTTCTTGAATTCTCCATTATCTGCCTCCAACTTTTTGCCTCAGGCATAATGGGAATTACAGGTGCCACCTGTAGCATCCAGCATTACATGGAATGTAACTCCTATCCTCATATGTATACAGCAAGAGCTTTGTTTACTTGTACCACCTCCACAGCTTCAGGGATACATTTTAGTTTAAAAAAAACCAAAACAAAACAAAACAAAACACTTTTTTCTTGCTTGAATATAACTTAAAAGTCAATGAATATAAGTTAAGAATCCCTTTGGGGGAAGCTTGTTAAGATCCAATCATAAACCCTTGGGATAAAAGAAGTTCAAATGTTATATTGGTCAGAGTTCTCTAAAGGGAGATAACTGATAGAATGAGTATATTTAGTAAAGGGGAATTTATTAGGCTGGCTTACAGAACATGATCCAGGTAGTCCAACAATGGCTGTCTCACAGCAGAAAGCAGAGAATCCACTACTTGCTGAGTTCACAGTCTCATCAATTCCAATCTCTCACTGAAGTCCTAGACAATACCAAGACCTCCTGAGCTTCCATTTATGCTCCTGAAGAAGTTGGTACTTACCAGCAAATGAAAGCCTCTGAAACAAGATACATGAATTTACCAGTGAGAGTGAGGGCAGAGAGACAGAAAGGCACAGTTATATCCATCCATGTCCTTTTATATAGACTGCCACCATGTCTTAGTCAATATTCTATTACTGTGAACAGACACTATGACCACAACTCTTAGAAAGGAAGTCAATTAGTTGGGGCTGGCTTACAGTTCAGTCCATTGTCCTCATGGTGGGAAACATGGCAGCTGTGGGTAGACATGATAGCTGATAATTCTACATCTAGATCCACAGGCAGTGGGAACAGAAAAACTCTGAGTCTGGCATAGGCTCTTCAAACCTCAAAATCCACCCTTAATGACACACTTCCTCCAACAAAGGCACACTTCCTAATCCTTTCAAATAGTGT